TTGTCACGTATTTCTCGTGTCATGGTTTTCATCTCTTTCATTTCGTTGATGACCTTCTCTGCATTAATTACTCTAGCCATCAATTCTTCCACTTTTTTTTTCAAGATTTTTAGTTTCTTTGCGCTGGGTACGTAATTCCTCCTTTAGCTCTGAGAAATTTGATGGACTGAAGCCTTCTTCTCTCATCTCGTCAAAGTCATTCTCCGTCCAGCTTTGATCCGTTGCTGGCGATGAGCTGCGCTCCTTTGCCGGGGGAGATGCGCTCTTATTTTTTGAATTTCCAGCTTTTCTGCCCTGCCTTTTCCCCATCTTTGTGGTTTTATCTGCCTCTGGTCTTTGATGATGGTGATGTACTGATGGGGTTTTGGTGTAGGTGTCCTTCCTGTTTGATAGTTTTCCTTCTAACAGTCAGGACCCTCAGCTGTAGGTCTGTTGGAGATTGCTTGAGGTCCACTCCAGACCCTGTTTGGCTGGGTATCAGCAGCAGAGGCTGCAGAAGATAGAATATTTCTGAACAGCGAGTGTACCTGTCTGATTCTTGCTTTGGAAGCTTCCTCTCAGGGGTGTACTCCACCTTGTGAGGTGTGGGGTGTCAGACTGCCCCTAGTGGGGGATGTCTCCCAGTTAGGCTACTCAGGGGTCAGGGACCCACTTGAGCAGGGAGTCTGTCCCTTCTCAGATCTCAACCTCCGTGTTGGGAGATCCACTGCTCTCTTCAAAGCTGTCAGACAGAGTCGTTTGCGTCTGCAGAGGTTTCGGCTGTGTTTGTTATTGCTCTGTCCCCAGAGGTGGAGTCTACAGAGACAGGCAGGTTTCCTTGAGCTGCTATGAGCTCCACCCAGTTCGAGCTTCCCAGCAGCTTTGTTTACCTACTTAAGCCTGAGCAATGGCGGGCGCCCCTCCCCCAGCCTCGCTGCTGCCTTGCCGGTAGATGACAGACTGCTGTGCTAGCAATGAGGGAGGCTCCGTGGGTGTGGGACCCTCCCGGCCAGGTGTGGGATATGATCTCCTGGTGTGCCTGTTTGCTTAAAGCGCAGTATTGGGGTGGGAGTTACCCGATTTTCCAGGTGTTGTGTGTCTCAGTTCCCCTGGCTAGGAAAAGGGATTCCCTTCCCCCTTGCGCTTCCCAGGTGAGGCAATGCCTCGCCCTGCTTCAGCTCTCGCTGGTCGGGCTGCAGCAGCTGACCAGCACCGATCGTCCGGCACTCCCCAGTGAGATGAACCCAGTACCTCAGTTGAAAATGCAGAAATCACCGGTCTTCTGTGTCGCTCGCGCTGGGAGTTGGAGACTGGAGCTGTTCCTATTCGGCCCTCTTGCTCCGCCCTCCTGTCTAAGCACATTTTTAAAGTATTCTGACTTTTTGAAAAAATGAATTGGCTTTCTGTAGTGGGAGAGAAAGGGTGGAGTTAAAAGTTGGGCACAGGAAATGAAAAATTATGCCTGGAAATGTTTCCACTGGTGTCTGTCATGTTTCCAGAAGTTAAAACCATGTTCAAGGGAAGTCTTGCTCATATGCTTAGGAAGTATTAGCACTCCAGAGTGTCTTAGGTATCTGAAATGTGAAGTCATGTATGAAATTGACATTCAACTTAGCTGGATGACAAACCTATAAAAAATAAATGCACATTTGTGTTGTATCATCTTGGTAGCAATTTGTATAAAGAATTCAGGTAAGCCACAATGTGGGGGCAAAACTTTTAAAGTAATAGCAAGGGATGAGTGCTCAGTAAAGATCACTGTAAAGAACAGAGAAGTTAGCCCACCAAATCTGACATACACTGAGCATTTTCACCCCAGTGCACTGCCTTCGCTCCTCTCTGTAATGTACAGCTGTGTTTACTTCTGCATCCCCTTGAGTGTCAACTTTGCTTATGTTTCATATTTCAGATAGTATTCTTTCACAGATGCTCACACCTATAAATACAAACAGAACATTGGTGCATAATAGTGCCTATAATTGGTATCATTGCCTTGTTCCTGGCTTAAATGGGGTTTCTGCTAAACGATTTATTGTTTTTAAGCTGACTTATGGGTTGAATGAATTTTTTTCAGTCATTTTCAGGGAATATCCACTGTTTCCTATATTACTAAGCATTTATCTCAGGAATAGCCAAGCTTTTCTTATCTGTTGTGATGATCATTTGGGTTTTCTCTATCTAGCAGCATGGCAGGTTTTATGTCTCTTATAATCCATTCATGGGATGACTCTCAATCAAGGGGGTAATTTGAATGTACTGCTGGATTAATACTGTTCATTAGTGTTTACTTGGGAAGTTAGTATCAAGGTACGAGCTAGGTCTCTCATTCTACTTTTTTCCCTTTTGTTGTCTTTTAGCATCAATGTTATGTTAGGTTCTTAAAAAGATTTAGGAAGCTTTTCTTCTCTAAGAAGAGTTTTAAAACCTTTTTATTGGCCAGGTGTGGTGGCTCACACCTGTAATCCCAGCACTTTGGGAGGCCGAGGCAGGCGGATCACCAGGTCAGGAGTTCGAGACCAGCCTGACCAACATGGTGAAACCCCATCTCTACTAAAAATACAAAAATTAGCCAGGTTTTTTTTGGTGTGGTGGCGCATGTCTGTAATCCCAGCTACTCAGGAGGCTGAGGCAGGAGAATCACTTGAATCCAGGAGGCAGAGGTTGCAGTAAGCCGAGATCGCACCTCTGCAGTCCAGCCTGGGCAACAGAGCGAGACTCTCTCATAAAACAAAAAGCAACAACAAAAAAAAACCTTTTTATTATGGAAAATTTCAAATCTATATGAAAGTAGAGAAAACAGTATGAAGAATGAATCCCTGCTAGTATGAGGAATGTATCCATCACCTAGCTTCGACAATTATCTGTATAGGTTCAATCCTGTATATTTCCCTCTACCCCACTCCCTGCCTCCCTGCCTCCCTGCCCTCCACCAAAGCTGGATTATTTAATAGTAAATCTCATACATCTAAATAGATGTTTTAAATTGTTGTAAAATTTTATGACTAATACATGAATACATTCATCTTATTTTTAAAAAAACGACTTACAGATTAGGCCAAAGTCCCTTTCAACCACTACATCCTTGGACCCCTCTCCAGAGGTTGCCACTGTTAGAAGATTGGTGTGTGTCCCTCCTTGTATTTATTTATTTATTTGAGACAGAGTCTCGCCGTGTTGCCCAGGCTGGAGGGCAGTGGTGCGATCTTGGCTTACTGCAACCTCTACCTCCTAGGTTCAAATGATTCTTGTGTGTCAGCCTCCCGAGTAGCTGGGATTACAGGTGTGTGCCACCATGCCTGGCTAATTTTTTTGTAATTTTAGCAGCAACAGGGTTTCACCGTGTTGGCCAGGCTGGATCTCAAACTCCTGGGCTCAAGTGATCCACCTGCCTTGGCCTCCCAAAGTACTGGGATCACAGGCGTGAGCCACTGCATCTGGCTAGATATACTTTTTCATGTGATCTTTTTCTTCCTTTCTCTTCAATCCTTGAGGTAAATTGGGCAACGTGGTTTATGACATTTTTCTGCTGACTTATGCTGAAACCTAATTAGAATTTTGAAGAGGCAAAGTCAAAGATCTATAGGCAAAGATCTATTCTAATAACTACATCATTAGAATGTAGTGACTTGGTCTAGAATGGAAAACCTGGATTTGTGCTGAGCTGTGCCACTCACAGCTGTGTATCCTTTGGGAAAACACGTCTCTGAATCAGTTCCTCATGTGTCAGGGGATATAGACTTGACTTTTGAGGGCATGTGGGCATTGAATGTACGTGAAAGCATTTTGTAAATGATAAAATATAGGAATAGGAAACCAAACACCACATCTTCTCACTTATAAGTGGGAGCTGAACAATGAGAACACGTGGATACAGGGAGGGGAACATCACACACCAGGGCCTATCAGTGGTTGGTTGGCAAGGGGAGGGAGAGCATTAGGACAAATACCTAATGCATGCGGGGCTTAAAACCTAGATGACGGGTTGATGGGTGCAACAAACCACCATGACACATGTATACCTATATAACAAACCTGCACATTCTGCACATGTGTCCCAGAACTTAAAGTAAAATAAATAAATAAAAAAAAAGATAAAATATGACTTTTATTGTTGCCTATGTTAGGTCACTTTAAGATGAGAGGAAGCCGGCCAGGTGCAGTGGCTCACACCTGTAATCCCAGCAGTTTGAGAGGCCAAGGCAGGTGGATCACAAGGTCAGGAGTTCGAGACCAGCCTGGCCAAAATGATGAAATCCCGTCTCCACTAAATATACAAAAAATTAGCCAGGCATGGTGGCGGGCACCTGTAGTCCCAGCTACTCAGAAGGTTGAGGTAGGAGAATCACTTGAACCTGGGAGGCGGAGGTTGCAGTGAGCTGAGACCATGCCACTGCACTCCAGCCTGGGCAACAGAATGAGACTCTGTCTCAAAAAGAAAAAAAAAAAAAAAAAAGAGAGAGAGAGGAAGCCAAGGAGAGGAAAGTAGTATTCATGCATCACCTCTGTTTTGTTAGAATGTACTTCTAAGGATTAATAAGCCTGAATTCTAGAGAAGAGGAGTAGTACAGATTGATGTCAATGACAAGTTAGGAACACTGTTTTAGAGGCTTATGCTAGAGGGTAAGTTTGATCTTAGGATGGGTGCTGAAGAGATAGGTTTCATACACGCGCGCACACACACACACACACACTGTGGCCTTGGTGTGTCCTCTACCTCTGTGTTCAGAAAGGAAGCTTCTTCTAGTGTCAGACCTCCTGGGTTGAAGACTGGCACTCCTGCTCAGTAGCTGGTAACTTTGAGCAAGGTTCTTTACCTCTCTCAGCCTCAGTTTCCTCAGTTGTAAACATGGGCAAATCATAGTACCTTTTTTATGTAGTTGTTGTAAGGTTTTGATGAGCTAATATGATTAAAAGGCTTAGCACAGAACAGGCACAGAGTAAGTACTCATTATTACCTTATTTTTATAAATATTATCTAACCTTACCATTATCAGCGTGTGACCCTATTTCTTCTCTTTCAGGTAGGAGGTGTGCAGTCTTTGGGGGGAACGGGTGCACTTCGAATTGGGGCTGATTTCTTAGCGCGCTGGTACAATGGAACAAACAACAAGAACACACCCGTCTACGTGTCCTCACCAACCTGGGGTGAGTTTTTCAGCTGAAGTGAGAGGAAAAACAGAAACCAGAGAGAATTATCCTCATGACTCTCCCTGGTTACACAGAAAATGTAATCCAGCCCTGGAACAACTGACCATTGGGAATGGTTTGAACAGTGGGTTATGGCAGTGCATGAGAAACCTGCTGCTCAAAATCAAGTTAAGAATACTCTTTCTCAAGACTCTTGGTAGACTTGTATCTACCAAGGCTATGTTGAAACTCCCCAGAGGAGGCATAGAATGTAGATGCAGGAAGTATCATTGTAGTAGAATATAAGTCTGGCATTAATGTGACTGGTTGAACTTGTTCTTGGTTACAGTCATTCCTCTACATCTTAACCCCCAGCCTGGATGATGCCCAGTGGACACTGAGCCTGGGAGGGCCCTGGAAGCTGACTTGCATCCTTTCCACTCATGCCTCCTAGTGTTTGTAAAAGTGCTTAACTTTTTACTCCTTTGCATGCAGAGAATCACAATGCTGTATTTTCCGCTGCTGGTTTTAAAGACATTCGGTCCTATCGCTACTGGGATGCAGAGAAGAGAGGACTGGACCTCCAGGGCTTCCTGAATGATCTGGAGGTGGGTGATTTAGAGGAAAAAGTAGAGAATTGCATGGTGTCAGGAATAGCAGGCAAAGTCTTTGGACCAGTTGCTAAGTGAAGGGGTCTGAGACACCTTCCCCACACCAGATGGTGGTTTCTGACATAGCACATAAGAGAGAGGGCACAAAAGAGACATGGAAGAGTGACAAGAATATGATTGCCCTTTGCCCTCCATCACTGACTGATCTGCTGCTGTCTCCCAGTATTGCCGTCAGTGTCAGAGCTGACATAGCTTCCTTCTCCTCAGAACGCTCCTGAGTTCTCCATCATTGTCCTCCATGCCTGTGCACACAACCCAACTGGGACCGACCCAACTCCGGAGCAGTGGAAGCAGATTGCTTCTGTCATGAAGGTAACTGCCTCTTCTGAGCATCTCTTAAAAAATAGTATGTTTTCTTATTTAATGTATTCAGAAGTAATACCTGTTTGCTGTTTGCTGAGGAATTAGGAAAATGGGAAAAGTCCAAAGAAAAAATAAGTATTAACTGTAAATTTTATTACCTAAAGAAAGACACTGTTAATGTTTTGGTAGATGGAATGTCAGACTCTGTGTGTGTGTGTGTGTGTGTGTGTGTGTGTGTATGTGTGTGTCTAGTTTTATATATATATGTTTTACAAAGATGAGATCATTTTGTCTGTACTGTTTTTTGCAACACAATTTGTTTTTCATTTTCACTTCTTTATATACACGTCATTGAATATTTTGCAGCATCATTTTTCATAGCTATATTATATTCCTTTCATGGATGTGTCATATGAGGGATGGGGTAAATCATCTGATGAATATTTAGGTTTACTTCAGATTACTTGATCTGATGAACAATTACATAACAAAACTTCCCTTTATGATTTCTTTGGCGTAATTTCTAGGTGGGAATTCCTAGCTGAAAGTGTGTCTATTCTTCGTTAACGAGTCTGTAGAATACTTACTGAGGAACTGCTGTGTATTGGGCACTGTGGGAATACAGTATTGAACGGAGCAGATGCAGTCCCTACCCTCAAAGACAGACAGCCTGTTTGTGGAGATGGACGAGTACTAAGGCAGCTGCGATACTGTGAGATAGCTGTGTTGATGGTGTTATATGGGGTACATAGTGCAGACTTTGGGCAGTGTATATGTGGGAGTTGGGGGTTGGTGGCAGGAACCTTCCTGGAAGAAGTGGTTTCCATGTTGAGTCCTGTAGGATGGGGAAGAGTTAAGAAGGCATCAGCAGACAGGCGTTGACAGGGAAGGGATGTACTCTGCAGAGGGCAGAGCATAGTCAGAAGCCCCAGGCAGAGATCATGGGGAGTGTGAGAGATGAGGCTAGAGTGAATAAGGGCGGCCTCTGTACTGAGGCTTAGACTTTATTCTCAGGGCAGTGGGGAACCACTGAAATCTTGGATGTCGGGGAGTGACATGATCAGATGTGCATGATCTTAAGGTCACCCTGATGTCACAGCGGGGAATGGATCAGAGAGAGGCAAGACTAAACAGGCTGTGGGAGCAGTTAGGAGACCGTTGCCATAGCCCAGGTAGGAGTTGATGGTGACCTGGATGAAGTAGGTAGCAGTGGGGACACTGAGATGCAAAAGGATTTGGGAGCTCTGAAGAGACAGGACTGATAGGACTTGGGGGGTGCCAGGATGTGGGGGATGAGCTGTAGAGGAGTCATCCTGGGCTAGGAGTCCAGACACCTCCCAGTCCCGCCTAATCAAGATACACCTAAGAGATGGGAATCAAAGTATAACCAAAGGCTTGGACAGTTCTAGGGAGGGAAGCGGTGTCCACTCAGAGAGCCCAGCTGTAGAAGCAGGTTCCCTGTGGAGAGCTCTTTGAGGAGATGAGTGACAAGAATGGAGGCTACTCTGTTCCCTTCCTCTTGAGTACCTAGTAGAATAGCCTTGAGGTTGTGAGGAGCCCTGGGGATACCAAGCCTACACTTGACTAAGGCTCTCACGCCAGAAATTTACAGAGGAGAATCCACAACGTAGGACACTGCCTCCTTGCATCAGAAGTAAGCCCTGTTTAAGCTGAATTGGGATACTCTAGGACAATGTACTTTTAAAAAGTAAAGTTTACGGAAAAGGTTGCACTTGCTGGTTGTAGAGAGAAATGGATGTAAAGTGGTGTTTGGGTGCATATAGTCAAGAAATAGGAGAAATGGACAACGTTTGAAATTCCCTCCAGGCATCAGCTGGAGAAGGAAGGCTGGTGTCTGAGGTTGGTGCCAGAAGGATTTCCTGCCTTGACTCACTTTCCTTCCCTGCAGCACCGGTTTCTGTTCCCCTTCTTTGACTCAGCCTATCAGGGCTTTGCATCTGGAAACCTAGAGAGAGATGCCTGGGCCATTCGCTATTTTGTGTCTGAAGGCTTCGAGTTCTTCTGTGCCCAGTCCTTCTCCAAGAACTTCGGGCTCTACAGTGAGTGCTCTCCCGAGGAGTTACAGCCCCATCTCCCCGCATCACTCCCCGCTTTGGCAGCCACAGCTGATTGTGTTCCCTCTCTTTAGATGAGAGAGTTGGGAATCTGACTGTGGTTGGAAAAGAACCTGAGAGCATCCTGCGAGTCCTTTCCCAGATGGAGAAGATTGTGCGGATTACTTGGTCCAATCCCCCCGCCCAGGGAGCACGAATCGTGGCCGACACCCTCTCTAACCCTGAGCTCTTTGAGGAATGGTAAGGGGCTCCCAGTTTGGTGCGCCAGGGGGTGGAGAGTGCAGAGCAGTAATTGTCCCAGTACCTTTAACTGGGTCTCTTCCTTTCATTTTGGCAGAAGCAGGATCAAATTACATTAACTTCTTTGACTCTCAGATATTTGTAAAACGGGCTGATACCTACCTCACATGTGCATAACACAACACCTGGAAGAGAGGAGGGGGCACTCGGTGAATGGTAGTTTTCCCCAATTTCCCCTCCACCCAGTCTTCCTCCCCATAAAGTTTGAAAACCCAGGAAGGCATTCCCAACAGAATAGAATACCCAGCCTCTAGGCAGTTTAACAGTTTGGGAGCTCTTGGTTTTTATCTGTAACTTACCTACACTTTATCTTATTTTAGAACAGTAATTTTATATAGTAGCTACATCTGCAATCTCTATTTAATAAGTCCTGATGAAACATATTACCCCATTAATATCTATAGCAGCACCTCGGTGAAGCCTGAGTTGAAACGTGAGTGTATTATGGCCAGTATACCCAAGACCAGCACTAGACTCACTAGGAAATGTAGTCCTTTCCTTCTTCCCCCTAAGTGTCTCTCTCTCTGGTATGTTCATCCACCCATCCAGACATCCACATGCCATAATAGGCAGGTTATGATCCCATTGTCGGCTGTCATTTAAATTACGGTTTTTAAACCTGTGTGTTTTCGGGTACCATCTTTCCTGTCTGGATTGGTATTTATGTCACTGTCCATGCTTCAGGAAAGGTAATGTGAAGACAATGGCTGACCGGATTCTGACCATGAGATCTGAACTCAGGGCACGACTAGAAGCCCTCAAAACCCCTGGGACCTGGAACCACATCACTGATCAAATTGGCATGTTCAGCTACACTGGGTTGAACCGTAAGTGGCCCCCACCACCTCCAGCACATGTGTGCATGTAGACACACAACATTCCTTTCAGTCGCTGGCCTTGAGCTCACCTTCATGGCCTTTGCCTAATTGGGTAGCCGTTGCTTTGGACCAAGACAAGTTAGGTTTTCTTACGGTGTCCCACGGTCTCGTAAACTCTTTGGGTCTCAGAAGAGTATTGTGGTCTGCCCTGCTGACCCACAGCCAAGATATTTCCATTTTTGTGGGCTGGGAAGTGGCTCAGAGCCAGCCAGTAGGTAACAGGATTGGTAGCTGGGAGCCTTAATTTATGAAAGGTTCTTATAAATGCTCAGGTACATTTTGGGTTTGCCTTAATCCTGAATATAAATATGTATGATTATTCAGAGACCTGATTTCTTAACAGATCTTTCCTATTTCTAGGTATTATCCTCAAAAAGGGGTTACAAAGTTATCTCTGCATTTCATAAACAAGAACCTAGATTGGGCTGGGCGCAGTGGCTCACACCTGTAATCCCAGCAGTTTGGGAGGCCAAGGCAGGCAGATCACGAGTTCGGGAGATCAAGACCATCCTGGCCAACACGGTGAAACCCTGTCTCTACTAAAAATACAAAAAAATTAGCTGGGCATGGTAGCGGGTGCCTGTAGTCCCAGCTACTCGGGAGGCTGAGGCAGGAGAATGGTGTGAACCCGGGAGGCGGAGCTTGCAGTGAGCTGACACCACGCCACTGCACTCCAGCCTGGGTGACAGAGCTTGACTCTGTCTCAAAACAAAACAAAAAAAAGAACCTAGATTGGTGGTTGGAATTAAAGCTGATTGAAAATCTAGTAGGCGGTCATGCGTGATCTTGGTCGGTTGTCAGTAGGGCACATCTGCCATCTGCAGTCCCATCTGATGACAGAAGAGGCATTTCTTCTTCTTTTTTTTTGAGATGGAATCTTGCTCTGTTGCCCAAGCTGGAGTGCAGTGGTGTGATCTCGACTCACTGCAACCTCCACCTCCCGAATTCAGGCGATTCTCCTGCGTCAGCCTCCCAAGTAGCTGAGATTACAGGCATCATTTCTTTAGTAATTCCCACAGTGCAGATGTGGCCACTCACCTGTGTGTCCCAGTGACTCTAGGGAGGGATGTGTGGCTGGCTTGGTTTGTAGGTATAACAGCAGAGGCCGTGGGGAGGTATTTAACTGGGGCCATCACAGTGCCAGCGTGAAGTGCTCTCAGAAAAATCCAAAGGAAATAAATATAAATGAAAGTTAATAGAACTTGTATTGTGGACCCCTCAAAATACTTTGGGGTAAAATGAAGCTACCTAAGAAAGTAAAGAAATAGCTCAGTTAGCTGTAGATGTCCTCTTGACTGTGGAACGGAGAATTAATTCACTCACAATTGTAAAAATATTATAAGTAACAGATTAATAATCTTTAGTAGTAATAGTCTAAAAGCTCACAATATGGGAATGTCTCCCTATAAAATATCCATATCTTCCCATTATCCACAGGAGGAAATTAGTTTTATTAATATTATGAATTGGGAAAATGATGAGAATAGAACTGTGCTTATAACACAAAAGTTGTATTTTTAGCACTTGACATCATTTGCCCTTACTAAAAACAGGGGTTTTGTTTTCCTCCCAACTTTTTTTTTTTTTCTTTTTGAGACAGAGTCTTGCTCTGTTGCTCAGACTGGAGTGTAGTGGCACAATCTTGGCTCACTGCAACCTCCACCTCCTGGATTCAAGCGATTCTCCTGCCTCAGCCTCTCAAGTAGCTGGGACTACAGGCATAAGCCACCACACCTGGCTAATTTTTGTATTTTTCGTAGAGACAGGGTTTCACCATGTTGACCAGGCTGGTCTCAAACTCTTGACCTCAAAGTGATCCACCTGCCCCGCCTCCCAAAGTGCTGGGATTATAGGCATGAGCCACCATGCCCGGCCTTTTTTTTTTTTTTTTTTTGAGACAGGGTCTCGCTCTGTCACCCAAGGTAGAGTGCAGTGGTGCAATCTCGAGTCATTGCAACTTCCACCCCCTGGGCTCAGGTGATCTTTCCACCTCAGCCTCCGAGTGGCTGGGACCACAGGCATGGACTACCATGCCCATCTAATTTTTTTGTAGAAACGGGGTTTCACCATATTGCTTAGGCTGATCTCAAACTCCTGAGCTCAAGTGATCTGCCTGCCTCGGTCTTCCAAGGTGCTGGGATTACAAGCGTGAGCTACTGCACCTGGCCAGAAAAGTTTTAAACATACAGAAAAGTTGGAGGAATTGTACAGTGAACTCCCATACACTCGCCATCTAGTTTCTACAATTCTCACATTACAATACTTCCTTTGTTATCTTTTTTCTGTCAGAATGGGGCTTTTAACCTGGAGTCCCTGGATGTACTTTTAGGAGAACTGTGAAGCCCCTGAAATGATGTTTAAAAAATTGTGTGTGTATATTTTGGCCCTACTCTAGGGAAAGAGTCCATAACTTTTACTGGCTTCTCAAACTCTGACACTCCCTTCTCTGAAAAAGTAGAAAGGCCTCATTTTTACTAAAACAAAACCAAAAACCAGCGTAGGAGCCGTTACTCACTGCCTCAGGGCACAGGTTTTTAGAAACAGTGGTGCACCCGGGGCTGTGCTGGCTTGAGGCTCTATCGCCTTGGGTGACCAGTTCACACAGGTAAACCACTTCTGAAGCTTGCTTTGTTTGTTTGTTTGGAGGGGTCAAGGGAAAACTTACCCTTTGCCCTCTGAAAGTTTGCTGGAAATCAGCTGACAAAAGGCAGATTAATAGGAGAAAAGTCATACAAATTTATTTATTTATTTTTGAGACAGAGTCTCACTCTGTTGCCCAGGCTGGAGTGCAGTGGCACGATCGTGGCTTACTGTAGCCTTGACCTCCCAGGCCCAAGCAATCCACCCACCTCAGCCTTTGTAGTACCTGGGACCACAGGCATGTGCCGCCACGCCCGGCTAATTCTTAAGATTTTTTTGTAGAGACGGGGGTCTCCTTATGATGCCCAGGCTGGTCTTTAACTCCTGGGCTTGAGCAATCCTCCCTCCTTGGCCTCCCAAAGTACTTGGATTACAGGCATGAGCCACTGTGCCTGGACAGCATGCAAGTTTATTAACTTGCACAGGTGTCTTACAAAATAAAACTAAAATAAATGGCCAGATGATTGATGCTTTTATATCATCTTGGGGTTACAGAAAGAATGGAAGCTTGGAGCTTGGCAAAACAGGTTGTGGCAGACAGAGAAGAGAAGGCCTGGTTAGCAAAGGTGGTCTTGTTATATTATGTAGATAAGTCACAGGTAGCAGCCCTCAGAGAAAATAGCTGGTAACGGTCTATTTCTTTTAGACCTTTAAAGGCATCAGACTCTCAGTTAATTTCCCCTAGATCTGGACAAGGGAGGTCCTCAGAGAAAGTCTAGCTGCAGCCATGCAGATTTTCTCTACAGATACAGATCTCTCTCACAAAAGACAGCTTTGCAGGGCTACTTGTGTATGTAGGCCCTCTGAACAGCCATCTCAAAATATGTCAAAGTATATTTTGGGGTGAACTGTTTTGGTTTCCCTCAAGGAGCCCTGAGTCCAGGGTCCAGAGTTTTTACTTCCATAGAGAGGCAGTGTAGCGTCACAGTGTACAGCCTGGACTTAAAATCCTGCCTGAAAATCTCACATCCACCACTGACCAGCTGTGCGACCTCGGAAGGCCATTTAACGTCATTATGGCCTATTTATAAGACGGGCACGATAGTTATTATCAGGATGAACTAAGATGCAGTGCTTAGAACACTGCCTAGCACATAAGTGTTTGCTCCTCTGATTATGATGATTTTATTATTATTCCATTTCCTCAGGTTGGTGGTATCTTAAAAGTACTAATTACTTAAGCAGTAATTCACTAATTTTTTTTTTTTTTTTAATTTTTTGAGACAGAGTCTCACTCTGTCACCCAGGCTGGAGTGCAGGGGTGTGATCTCGGCTCACTGCAACTTCCTCCTGTTGGATTTCAAGCAATTCTCCTGCCTCAGCCTCCTGAGTAGCTGGGACCATAGGCACGTGCCACCACGCCCAGCTAATTTTTGTATTTTTAGTAGAGACTGGGTCTCAGCATGTTGGCCTAGCTGGTCTCGAACTTCTGACCTCAGGTGATCCATCTACCTCGGCCTCCCGAAGTGCTGGGATCACAGGCGTGAGCCACTGTGCCCAGCCGAATTCACTAAAATTCTATCAATGGATTTGCCAAATAGCAAAACTGCTCTAGAGACTGTTGTATAAAGGAAGTACAGGTAGTCTGTTCTTACTCATATGTGATACATTTCTGCAAACATGGAAAAACTGCTGCATCTGCGAGAGAGCTGAGAAATGAACAGAAGTCTGATGGTGCCAGGTCAGAGAGGTCTGTGTCATTTCTCAGCTCGTTGGTTAATTCACACAGTATTGATCAGGTACCTCATGCCTGGGGCCTTGTCCAGTGTACTGTAAATATGAAATGTCAAAGGGAGGCTGCTACGGGTGCTCAGTGTTAAGTCCAGGTTAGGGAAGAACCAAAGGAAGCACTTCATAGCCAGCGTTTCATAACGCTGTCCATCTGATGGTTGTTTTTAGTTGATAGGGGTGTCCTGGTGGATGTAAATGTATAAGGCTTGGTTGGAAGGCAATCCCAGATTAAAATTCCCATCAGTAGTAGCCATATTGAATTTTCTGGGGCTTCAAAGGTGAACTAGTAAGAGTACTTTCCAGAATCTAGTGAGTATATTTTTCTGTTTGTCAGTTGGTCAAAATAGCGCCTTTTGTTTTGCTTCTCTCTGTTAAGGGGAAAGAAGGAAAGCTGTAATTGCCATACAATTGCTGAGCCTCCACTGCTTTAAGGATCCCCTCTGCTCTGATTATGTCTCCTTTTGGTTTTCAACAGCCAAGCAGGTTGAGTATCTGATCAATGAAAAGCACATCTACCTGCTGCCAAGTGGTCGAATCAACGTGAGTGGCTTAACCACCAAAAATCTAGATTATGTGGCCACCTCCATCCATGAAGCCATCACCAAAATCCAGTGAAGAAGCACCACCCGTCCAGTACCACCAAAGTAGTTCTGTCATGCGTGTTCCCTGCCTGCACAAACCTACATGTACATATCATGGATTAGAGACACTTGCAGGACTGGAAGACTGCTCTGGTGAGGCGGCCTCTGTTTAAACCGTCCCCACGTGAAGAGAACATCCCTTGAGACGAATTTGGAGACTGGGATTAGAGCCTTTTGGAGGTCAAAGCAAATTAAAATTTTTATTTAAGAATAAAAGAGTACTTTGATCATGAGACATAGGTATCTTGTCCCCCTGGCTAAAAGGCAGGAGTATTGCGTGTGGCAACCACGTGCTTCTGTGTGGTGTTTGACTCTGTACAAAGTCTAGTCCCAAAGATCAAGTTGTCTGAAGGAGCCAAAGTGTGAATGTGGGTGTCGGCTGTGGCATTAAACTCATCATCTCAACCCAGAGTGTCTGGTCTGCCTGCTCTTTCTGCATGGTTGTGTCCCTAGTCCTAAGCTTTGGTTCTTTAGGGCGACTGTGTTAAGAAGGATATTTAATCATGACACACACATATTTAACTGAAACAGAAGTTTGACCAAACAGTATTCACTCGTGATGTGTGTAGTGCGTTCTATTTTTGAGCCATTCTACTGTGTTCTACTTCACCTAAAAAAGTAAAATAAAAATGTTGATCAAGACCCATGGACTTGATTTTGTGACCATTAATAGGTTGTGACCCCCAGTTTAAAATGAATGCTTTCGAGGGTTTTACTAGTGGCTAAAGGAATAGCTTCCTTCAGTGAACTACCATATAACTCCCTGGCGATTTTGCGGGCTTGTCATTTGGAGGCCAGCTGTCTTCTTATGTTACTTAAGAAACTGGACTTCTTGGACTTGTGAGAGGGGATGACATCACTTAGGTTGATTATAGAACATCAGCCTGTCCCCTGCTGTCAGAGTCCCTCCTGGTTTATTGAAGCAGTTAGAACCACAGAAACATAGATCACAATTTTCAGAGTCCAAGGGCCACTCCAAGTGGCCATTTTGTAGAATTTGGTGGGGTTGGATGTTACTTAACATAAGAGGTCTATTATTTGGAGTTTTTAAATATTTAAAGTTAATTCTTGTGATTTTAATAGGATCTGCCACTTTCTAGGACTCATCTGGGTTGTTAGAAAATCCTACAGTCCTGAGGGATGATTGGGGTCTTAGAAGTCATCAAGTCCTGCCTCTCCCCCAGTGACATAGTCTCTCCCATATGTCTCTGACTCATCCATTTAAATTGGAGGGGTGGTGGTGGTGGTGATGGATTCTTTAAATACCTGGTGAGGCATCCCATTCTGCTGGTGGAGCCTCTTAATTAAAAAAAGAGGCTCATTTACCTTTAGCTCATGGTGAAAGTTCATCTACCTTCAACCAGAATTTGATCTTTGTCCCACTCCCTTGCCCCTCCTTTCCTTCCTTTAAACCACAGATAGTAAATCTACTGGCATTTCTAATCTACCACCTTTCAAGTATTTGAAAGTAGCAGTTGTCATTCCTTGTTTACACTTTTCCATGTGAACCGCCTCTCCCCCATCACTTTTGTTTCTGCACAGGATGTGGTTTCCAGATCCTTCCCTGTCTGGCCGGAGCCCCGGGAGTCCTTCAGAGGGCACTCACTCCGCCAGTGTGTGGTTGGGCTGGTGGAAGTTCATGAGTGAACGTGATTAGATGCCCTCCCACCCATCTCTTCATAGCCTTCTGAACAAATCAGTCTTTGTTCTCCTTCCAATTTAAAGATGCTTGTCATTAGTAAGGGAAGGCAGCCAATAGAGAAGTCGAAGGATTCTACCTTCTGTCAATCTGCCATTCTCTCCAAACACTTTAAACCACTCATTCTCCATGGGGATGATACTGCCTCCATGGGGACGAAAATTGGTTCTTTGGGGGCAAAAAAAGCCTGAAATACTAAAATGTCGCCTTCCAAAGTGCAATCCTACCTGACCATCTTATTAGTATTTAATTTCTCTTGTTAGGGAAAATTAAAATTTTCTCTTTAGGGGGCTGCCAAAACTATTAAAGATAAACACATCTTTAAACCTAAGTGACAGTACCAAAGTGCTCAAATGTTTTTAGCACTTGAAAAAAGCCCATCTCAATGGGGATCTGGCCTTCTTACTTCTATTCTGACAGATATGTTGGTCGGTGTGGCTCCCACTGCATTCACCTGAAGAAGGGTTGTGAGTTTGGGAAGCCAGCAGGACTCCTCAGGCCTCTGACATGCCAGTGAACTTCAGAGGTGGGATTGTTTCACCAATTTTGCCCACTCAAGAGCAAGGCACTCCGACCTCTAGGCTCTGCCAGTTCCCAGGTGTGTAACCGTGAGCAAGAAGACAGTAACCTCGCAGACAGTAACCGCTCCTCCACAGGGTGGTTGAGAAGGAAATGAGCTAATGGGTACTTGGCACAATACTTGGAACATAAAGCCCTTGGCAGAATAGTTGTTTCCATCATTTATTATTACTGTTAGTGAAATGAATAGCCTCTACTGAGGTTCCTGAGAAGAACCTTAAGAGGTTTTGGCATAGGCCCCTAATCCTCCTGTTTGCTTTGAGAAATTAGTAGTAGGTGTCAGATTTCAGCCTTCCTTCCACACAGGCATTAAATGCCCAAACACACCTTCCCACCTGCCTGGCTGTTCCCTCCCTCCAGCATCGGCTTAAAACTGACCAACAGGCCTGGCTCATTCTTGTGTTCTGTACCCTAGCCTTTGGTTGCAAACTGCCAGAGTCATGCCACTTGGACTCCTTTCCGAAGGTTCTGCAGAAGCCAGCTAGTGTGACCAACATTCTGTCTCAGGGGCTTATCTGGGTTTAACCCCCAAGACCTTGAATTTGGACGGCACCCAGCACAGCACCTCACCCTCACATGGGTTCAGCAAATGCCAGCCCTTCTCACTGTCGTCTTAGTGTTCCTTCCTTGTCTTTATGCACACTGGCTTCTCGTTTGGGTTTTACTTCTCATTTCTGGCATTCACTCCTGAAAAATCTTACCATCTGGCCTCCCAAAGTAGTGTGCCAAGGCTTCCCCGTGACCTCACCGCAGCCTCACACCTGGCCCAGAGCGGCATGCCTCTTCATGCAGGTGGGCCACAGGTGAGATCATTACACGTGGGCATCACTCAACCTGTATCTCAAATGAAGCCACGTCAGAAGATTCCAGGGGCAAGGAAAACAGCCACGTTCCAGGAAAGGCATTTTCATTTTATTTAAAAATTATTTACAATTTATTGAGCCTTCATAAATGCTTTATTTTAAAATCTTTTTTTAAACCATTTTTCTTTTAACCTGAAGAAAATCTTTGTGGGGTGGGGGTGTGTAGGGAGGGGAGTGGTGACAGGCTCCATAGGGATTTTGCAAAGGGATGGGTGTAATGCAACAGCAGTGGCTTGAGTCTGGTGGCCTCAGGGGTGATGAAGACCAGCCAGGCAGGCACCCCCGGGGCCAGTGGTCAGCTGGCAGGAAGCCTGCATGATGGTGGTTCTTGCTCAAAACTCACCATTTATTGGTTTGGGTCTAGGTACCCAACGCTGAGGGCTGACACTTCGCCTATTCCTACCAGGCAAGAGCAGGTGTTGGGACTGGATGGCTGTGAAGTTATCTACGAGAAGTCATGCACTGCTGAGCCTCAGGCCAGGCCAGGCAAGGGGTGTGGTGAAGTCAATAATCATTGCTGGAAAAGGCGTCTCTAGCTCCAAAGTCTTTACTTCCACATGCTGTGGCCCTCCTGTCTGCAACACCTGCTCTGGGTTATTGGGAAGAGGGGACAAAGTTATGTGGGGGTGGTGGTTGTGCAATACTGTAGGGTGTGCCAAGAATTTCTGAGGACTTCCACTTCTTGGTGGGTGCCAGCCTTCCCCATCAATTGATGGACACTTGAGAAGACCACTTATAATTAAAAACCTGTCTCGAACTGCCCAGTTTCCACTTCACTCTGCATTATAGAAACCCTGGGCTGAAAGTTACACTATTTAAAATAGTGTTTTTTTGTTTGTTTGTTTTGTTTTTTGTTTTTAACTCTTTGTAGGTCTGAGACCTTTGAGAACCTTATGAAAGCTTTAACGCTCTGGAAAAAACATACAAGAATAAATACATTAAATACTAACAGTTTTAGGGGTTTCATAGACCCTCTGAAGTCCAACTATGGACCGCCTGGGGTGATGGACCCCAAGTTAAGAACCCCTGAGTTAACGGTTCCTGTGGGTAAGCATTTTCTTCTGAGATGCAGATCACCCAGAGGAATGCTCGGTCTCCCTCCTCCCTGTGAATGACTGAATGGGTGTGGGGAGGTGGGAGTGAGGGTTTTGGAGGAAGGGGAGGGACGCTGGATGGTATACCACGGGGAAAGGTTTGGGAATGGTTTGGAGATTTAGCAGACAGCACTCAATCAATGAGTTCAATGAGTACCTGACTGAGAGCATCTAAAGGGTAGGAGATAGATTGGAAAGGGAGATACGTATTCTGAAAACAAACTTCACTTACTTCCAAGTTTTCCCTAAGGCTGGCTGTGGTGCTTTTCTTTTTCTTTCTTTCTTTCCTTTTTTTTTTTTTTTTTGGAGACAGAGTCTCGCTCTGTTGCCCAAGATGAAGTGCAGTGGTGTCATCTCAGCTCACTGCAACCTCTGCCTCCCAGGTTCAAGTGATTCTCCTGCCTCAACCTCCCAAGTAGCTGGGACTACATGCCCAGTAGAGATGGGGTTTCACCATGTTGGCCAGGCTGGTCTCAAACTCCTGACTTCAAGTGATCTACTTGCCTTGGCCTTCCAAAGTGTTGTGATTATAGGCCTGAGCCACAGTGCCCAGTTTTGTGGTTGCATTTGAGAACTTATTCTTGGAAGCAGGTCTGTGTGGTCACTCTGCCATCTGGTGGTTATGCTTGGAATTGCACCTGCCCCAACTTCAGGAGAAACACCAGAGATCTAGTAAGTTCTTGGAATAAAGTACACTCAGCTGGTCTGCTAGGGTGTAGTAAGGGGTGGGAGAGGGACAAATGCATGAAAAAGAAGAATGATTCTTCAACATTCCTGTGTAACTCTGAAGTCCCATGAGAGTATGTATCTTTCTTGGCTGACCTGGGCACTCTTTGGCTTGTCATGGCTAAACTTGCTTTCAGCACTTACAGTTTTTCCATGTAAGTTTTGTTTGTTTTTTGCTTTGATTTGCACTTAAGACCTGAAGTTCCATCTCTGGCTCCCAACGGGGTCTCTCTGCATCCTGTTCCTTCTCTTCCAGGGCAGAATTACTGATCTATTGAAGACTGCTGATTGGGAGCCAAAACAGATGTGTCCCTGGTAAAAACAGTGACTTGAGGTTCCATCTCACATTCTTTCCATTCCAGCTGAGACATATTTCTCCAGGCTTCTGGAACCCTTATCTAACAGGAAACCAGTCACTAACAGTTTTCTGTGCTGTAATGTCAATCACATGCCAACATGGCTGAGTCCCACTTCTTTAAAGCTCTGGGGGGAATTCTTGGTCCATCCCCTGAACTAATCTTCAGACTTCCTACTGCAGCCTCCCATGTGCCTGTCTGCCAATGGCACCTTCTGAGCCAAGCTATGCATGAAACATATTAGAAAGTTAACATTTTGTTCTGGAGGAAAGAATGGCGAGTTCCAAGATGATAGGTCTCCTGTGGCATCAGGGGATCCCCAAGAACAAAGAAGAACATTAGGGGTCCCAGAGTGGCATTATCAGCTTGCAGTCAGACATCTCTTCTCCAGTCCCAGACTATGCTGTGGAAAAGACCATTTCTAGCATGTTCCATTAGCGGTACCTGCTTCTGTTATGGCCATGTCAAAGTTGTGAGTCAAACTGGAGGTAATGAGGGAAAATCTGCCAAACTGACAGCTAGGGAGAAAGAGATGGAAGGGAAGGCAGAACGTTCTGTCACCTGTGGGAGGCCTTGGGGGAAGCAGATGATGGGAGGGTGGGTTCTCCCTCAAAGCTCTGGAATTTCACACACCCAATGAATGCTGGCTTCGCCCTGTCATGTGATCAGAGGTGTTAAATTGGAGTTGTCCTCAGAGCTTCTCTCTCCTTCTGGTGACCTCTTCCTTTTTCGGCCACCTGAAAAAAAACAGGTTGCAAGTATCAGCCTGTAACACTGGAGGAACATTCATTATTGCTTGGCAGTTTGAGTTATTTTCAAAACAGAAGCAGAAATGGAGACAAAGCCCTTGACAGCTTGGCTAGAACTAACCTGCATTGTATGCTGGTGCTGATATTGGCATATTTACATCTTGAAAGATTAGGACGTACTTTTCACATAAGATGCCATCTCTGAAAAGTCACAAACCCAGGCTAGTGCCTGGAATTGAGATTTCCTGGAGGGGACTGAGTAAAGCCCATGTAACACCTCAGGCCTATGCCTCCCGTGCCCCTTGGGGGCCAGCCCCTCTGACTGCCAGACACCCTCAGAGAGGACCAATCTCATAGGCTTTGATGTCCCATGAATCAGGGTTGATGGCTGTAGCTGGGAGCTATTTCCAGGGACCTGCATTCTCTAGCTCTGAAGCAACCTCCTTTCTGCAGTGGGGCAGGTGGTCATAATTACATAGTTGTCCTCAAGGATGAGAGAGCAATCTGTTCCCAGGTCTGTTTTTAGGAAGGCATATCTTCACCTTGTTCTCTCCACCATTGACTTCCGTGTGTGGAGGATATTGCTCTCTTTCTATTGAGTCTCCTGGACACTAATTCTTTAAAGAACCAGACAGTAAATATTAGAGGCCTGTGGGCCATATGGTCTCTGTCACAATTACTTATCTCTGACATTGTTGCCATAGATAACAAATGGATCTGTCTGTGATCCAGTAAGTCCTTACTTACAAAAACCAGTAAAGGAGGGAGGTCAGAATTGACCTGTGGGCATGGTGTGCAGTCTCCTGTCCTAGAGGAAAACAACTGAATGGGACAGATCCCAAAACTATCAAGGGTGCAGTGCTGGCCCAATCCCTTTTGCGGATTTCCACAATTGTACTTCATTAGGGTTTCTAAGAGGAGTCCCTGGCTCCTCCCTCAGGAGGAAGATGCTAACATGTTTTTCCTACTAACCATCAGCAGGGTGGCTTTCATCTGGGTGAAGAACTAGCTACTCACTCAAGGTTCTCAGCAGCTTCTTGCCCACGTTTTCCTCAAAATCGCTACTGCAGGGGCTGGTCTCTGTATCCAGGTTGATGTTACAACATTCGCTATCTGATGCTGAGAAAGGAAAGAAGAGAGAACTCAAGTTGTCTCAACCTACACACTCAGGCATCAAGACAGGGTGATTCTGAGTGACATCCCTCAGCAGGTGAAGTTTAAGACGTGAGCCAAAGCGAGGGTGGTGTAATAAGGCAGGGATGCCCAGGAAAGTGCTGGGTGTCATTAGTTAGCAAGAGGCATTTTAGTGCCACAAAAGGAACAAAAAGATGGAGAACAGGAGCAGGAATGCAACGATCCATGCAAAGTCAGAAATCATTCCCTCTCCTCAAACACTTTTTGGCAAGAGAGAGGGGTTAGAGAACAACGTGTTCTCCATCCAGTCTATTTGCCAGACTAAAAGCACACGTGAGGACAGGTGGAGGTCTCCTTGGTCTATTTGCACAAACCCCAGAAAGCCACAGGGTTCAACAACAATGTCCCTGTCTTCTCCCGCAGGACTCAATGGGAGTTCAAAGAATTACAGAACCTGAGAGCCCAGAAGGGGGCCAAGCCTTACCACCAATGCAAATAAAAACCTAAACAGAAGGCAGAGTGGTGTGCTGGAAACTGCACTGCACTGAAGCCATGAGGCTGAGCCTGCTAATGATGCAGTTTTTGGACTTGAGCAAGTTGTTTCCCCTCTCTAGGCCTCCAGGGTCCTCATGTGTCGCAGGACGAGGGTGGACTAGATGATCTCCAAGACTACTCCATCACCTTCGTTCTTACTCGTTTGTTACATTTTCTTGCTGTGTGCTTTAGCTACTAGATTTGGTGTTGAGGGCAGAAAAAGAACATCAGTTCTAAATTCAGGTCCTGGAACAGTGACCATGTATGTCTCAGATTTTGTGGGTCAGCCACAAGTTCAAGCATATTGTCTTGTTGACTTTAAATTTTTTTTTTTTTGAGACAGAGTCCACTCTGTCACCCAGGCTGGAGTGCAGTGGTGCCATCTTGGCTCACTGCAACCTCCGCCTCCCAGGTTCAAGCGATTCTCCTGCCTCAGCCTCCTGAGTAGTTGGGATTACAGGCGCCCGCCACCATGCCCGGCTAATTTTTGTGTTTTTAGTAGAGACGGGATTTCACCATGTTGGTCAGCCTGGTCTCGAACCCCTGACCTTAGGTGATCTGCCTGCCTGGGCCTCCCAAAGTGTGGGATTACAGGCACGAGCCACCGTGCCAGGCCAACTTTAAAAATCTTTGAGCACTTTTTCAGGTTGTTGCTCTGGACTTGAGGAGTCTTATACTATGGATTGGAGTAGGTCTGGCAGGGGAACTACTGGCTTGGGTGCAGGCTTAGGGGGCTACTGAAAGCTTGGGGAAGTACATCTTAGAGAGGCAAACACAGAAGCTTCTCAGGACTGCTGGGACTCTGGGCGCTCAGAGCACCACCACTGTCAAGGCAGCAGTGTTCAGCGTCTCGGAGGTGATATGATCCGAGACCTCAGGAAAAGTCTATAGACTACACCTTTGGTCAAAGCCACAGCTAGTTAGAATGTTTCCTAATCAGTTTCCTAATCTGTGAGGTAGGCCTAATAGTAGCTACGTAACATTTATAAAGCATGGTACTGAACACTGTGATATGCCTTTTATGTACATTATCTCATTTATGCTCAAAGCTATTTTATAAGATAGCTGTCATAATTTATACCTATTAACATAAGGATACTTATCTATTCAGACAAAAAAAACTGAGTCTTAGGTTTAATAACTTGCCTAAAATTGCATAACTCCTAAATGAAGGAGCCAGGGTCTGAATCCAGGCAGAAACCCAACTCCTAATACTGCCCTACACAGTTTTCCTGGGAGAATGAATCAGACAGGGCCTGATGCATGGTAGGTGCTCAGTAAATGTTTCCTTTCCCTGGCTGTGTAAGGAGGTTGGAGGTTTAATGCAGGGGCTGTGGTCCCAGGGCTCCCCTCAGCCAGCTTTCCTCGGGCCATCCCAGTACCCAAAGGCGATGATCCCCCTTGTTCTGCTAGGCCCAGTCGGCCTCCCTGACCTGCTGTCGTGGGAACAGCTACCGGAGACAGTGTGAGCTGCTGTGTGCTGTGCTCCTCGAAGTCAGTCATTTCTTCCTGGGTGAAGGCCAGCTCCTCCATCCTCAGGTACACTACCTCGCCGGGGCTTCTCAGCCCATCTGAGCGGCTGCCTGGGGAGGACAGCACGTGCATCACCTCTCTGATTTGGAGAAGACCCAGGGCTCAGGTGGTGTGAGCCCTGGGCAGGGCTAGAAGAGGAAGGCAGGGTCGTCCTCACCCCACACCAGCCCGGCCTGCCCGTCTGCCCAGCTGACTTACACGGCAGGCTGTTCCTGTTGTTCGGGAGCGTGATGGCGGGGTCATCCTTAGGGGTCTGGGGTGTGCCCCGGGTTGTGGGGGCCTTGGTGGAGTCCCCATCTGTGAAGGCCTCCATGTCAGGGGACTGAGGTGAGCTGTCCATGTGGCAGGCAGTGAGTGCGTTCTGATACTGCTGCCGTGTGATCTGGAAGGAAGAGGGCAGGAGCTTAGGAGCAGCTAGGCAGAGCCCTCCTGGATGCAGCCAGCCTTCCCAGGCTCGGGGGCAGCCTCGCTGGGGTGCTTGGAACCCTCGGCCTCTGAGGCCTGAGATCCACCAACGGGGGCCTTACCCACGCTGTAGCAGTCCAGCAGGGACAGTGAGGGGCCCTTTGCTGGTCTGCCACCAGCTCCCACTGTTCCTTTTTATTGGCACCTGGAAGAACCAAACCTTCTGAGACGCTGGAGAGGATGGAGGGCATCTTCAGAGAGCCGGGTGGTTGTCCATGGAGAAGTTTAAAACACACATTTATACTATTGCCAAAGGCCCAAAGGGTCAGTCGGGGGTGACTTGGTGAGAATAAGGTAGGACTCCAGCAGCGAAGCTCTCATGCCCCAGGTCTCAGTGTTGGGAAGCTGGAGGCTAGGGCCTGAGAGAACACAGGCATTTCTGATTTGGACTAAGCCCATCCCTGGATGTAGGGTCATGCTCCTATGTTGGCAGGGACCACAGCAGGGAGGTCTCCCAGCTGTCTCCTCAAATCACAGGAGTCAGACTTGTGATTTTCCTGCTGTGTCAAACGTCAGCCACAAGTGAAGGCATCTGGAGGGTCAGGCTGCAGCCAGACCAGACAGGAGTCTCTATGATTCCAGGCAGGAAAAATATAGATCAAATGTCTCTTCTAAAAGGCAGGAAGGTGTCTCGGTCACCCCTGTTCTCTGGGTATACAACACAGACAGGCACTGTGAATCCTTGCTAGCAGTGAAAACAGACTAGGTAGTGTGCCACCCTGTACAGGGATGTGAAACTGCTCATCAGTGGCTGGCACTGGGAGAAGAATGGAAATGGTATGTGGCATAATATCCTTCCCAATCATAGCATCTCCTAAAGCGTTTTCATCCCCCCTTCACTGCATTAGCGCTAGAGAACGAACAAATTCTGCTCATTTTGCCTTCTCTTTCCTTTGGGGCAGAATTGGTATCACATGTTGAAACAGGAAAGATTTCTGCTGGCAGTAGGAGGGGGATGGTTGAGGCTTACACACTGTGACAGAGAGTAGGCTTGAAGTTGGCTTTGTATCTGGTAAGGTCTCAACAGTGGCTCCTTGTCAACTACTCACAAGACCCATTATTTTACTGGACACGATCAATCCTTTCTTCAACAAACTTCAGGATATTTTGCAAGAGAACCAAGCAAATTCTAAGCACAACTAATCTAATCATAAAACACCAGTTAAGAATGCATGCCTTTTTGCAGAGCATATGGGACACACATATACAGAGATTCCAGGCTTCTAATCATACTTCTGCCCATTCAGGTGGGCAAATAGAGTTTTCTATTGATGGTTTAAATCAGTGATTCTCAAACCTCAGCATCAGAATTATCTGAAGGACTTGTTAAAACAAGATTGTTGGGTTTAACTCTGAGTTTCTCATTTGCTAGGTCTGGGGTGGAGACTGAGAATTTGCATTTTTAGCAAGTTCCTGTGTTCCTGGTGCTGCTAGTCTGGAGATCACACTTTGAGAACTGCTGACTTAAGACCTAGTTAAAATCAGATACAGGTACTACTCAGGTTTTGGTTTTTTTCTCTGAAGGATTTTAAAGGACAAAGCAGCAAAGTGTTAACAACTGGCTTTGATATTTTTTAGGTCAAAATGGTATGTTCTTTGCTCTATGGCGTGGAACCACAGGTCTCCACTTAGCATTTATCCAAAGTCTTCAATCGATTCAATGTGCTTGTTGAGAACACCTGACTTTTGCCACTCCCTCTGTTGGGAAGTGAGAAGTCAGGTTCCAAAATTTCCCCCAAAGATGAGGAAATTTGACTCTAACACCAAAGGACGGGAAAATTCCCTAAATGACACTCGGTAAGCCCAGTAAAGCAGTTGATCTTACTCTATTTGGGTTCTTTAGTTATTTAGATTTGGCTTCTACTTTAGTCAAAGGACAAATGTCCCTTCACCTAAGAAATATGGCAGGAAACATACTGCCAAGAACTAAAGTTCAAGTCCCAATTTTGCCACTTTCAAGCTGGGAGACCTTGGCCAAATATATATACATTTTTAATCAGCCAATGGGCAAATGAATACACTGGCCACATTGTTAACCTCTCTGATCTTATAAAAGAGGCCCAGAGATAATGAGATAACATGAGTGAATCTATTATACAAAACTGTTAGGAATGGTTGTTTAAAACATGCCCACATGCATGTCTCACCATTTGACTTTATAACGGGCATACATTTCAAAGACAACTGTCAAGCTTACCATCTCATTATGTCTAAATTGCCCATGGCACACAGGGTGGAGGTGGGGCAAGGAGCAGTGTCCCCTCTGCCCCCAGAGTCAGTGTGACTGGAGATGCTGTGAAAGCAAGACTAGGTCTTGGAAAAATAAATCCTTAATCAAGAAAATAAAGCAAAAGGGAAAGTAGGGGAAGGAAGGCAATTCCAAGTATGGACAGTGGAGAAGGGGGACAGAAGGAAAGGGACAGTGAGTGAAGAAAGGAGAGGAGGAAGAGAGAAGGAAGGGGCTGTTTCAGTAGGCTTTGAAATGGATTTGCTGGCTCAGGGCCCCTCTGAGTTGGTAGACTGGCTGCATCCCCCAAGCTGGAAGTCTCTTGGGAATGACTGTTGCTGCAAAATGCTCTATATTATTCAACTAATTTATTTTTGGAAAAGTTCTGCCCAGATTTTATCTTCAGTGAGTTGTACCAGTCTTTTAAAAAAAATTTTTTTTGAGATGGAGTCTTGCTCTGTCTTGCCCAGGCTGGAGTGCAGTGGTGCAACTTCTGCCTCCCAGATTCAAGCAATTCTCCTGTTTCAGCCTCCTGAGTAGATGGGACTATAGGTGCACACCACGACGCTAAGCTTATTTTTTTGTACTTTTAGTAGATACAGGGTTTCACCATATTGGTCAGGCTGATTTTGAACTCCCGACCTCAGGTGACATCACCCTCCTTGGCCTGCCAAAGTGCTGGGATTACAGGTATGAGCCACCATGTTTTAAAAAAACAATGATAGGCCCCTCTTATTACCCGGTATCAAGGATCCAGGAACTCTAACCCTCTCTTTAAGCATTGTCAGGGAGAAAAGGATGGGAAGAAAGTAGTTTTGGTAACAATACTGAGTGAATGGGACACAATTCCTTGTAAGGTACTGAGTTCCTCATCATTGGAGGCATTCACACAGATATTAAACCACCACTTGTCAGTGATGCTAAAGAGAAGATTCAGACAGCCACAGTCAGGGTCTGCCATTAGTGGGAAGAAGCACAGCAGTATACGGCAGTGAGAGTGGGGAGGGGCACGGGCTGGAGAGCGTCTGCACTGTTGGTGGGTGTTTATATAAAAGGAAAGGTACCACCCAATGGCTAAATCATCTATGTGACTCACGGCCTTAACAGCCTTGCTTTCACACAGCTCCATTTTTTAAAAAAATTTTTAAAAAATCATGAACTCCTGCCATGTCAATGTGTTGCCTTAAAAGAAATAGTTGACAAACTGTCAATGTATCCAACTCTGCTCGGCTTCTTCCAGAGGCATTTCTAGGTTCGGGTATCACTTCTTGTCAGTTCCTTCCCCTTGTTCAACAACTTACGACAACTTCTTTTAATCTAGCATAATACTGCTGAAGAGAAATATAACGTGAGTCCCACGGGTAATTCAAAGTTTTCTAGTGGTCACATTTTACAAAGTAAAAACAGGTAAAGTTAATTTTAATAACGTATTTCATTTAACCCAATATATCCAAAATAATTTCCCATCATCATGTGATTAGTATAAAGTGATTAGTGAGGAATTTTACATTCTTTTTTGTACTGGTCTTGAAATACAATGTGTATTTTGCACTTATAGCACATCAGTTTGAAAAAGTCACACTTCATGCGTTGAACAGCCACATGTACTAAATGGCTGTATTTATACATGGCTACTGGCTACTGTACTGGATGCTGAAGGTTTAGTGGACTGCCTGAACGGCTGTGCCCAGTTTCCATGACCTGGCCTCGCAGGGCCAGCAGCACTCCCACTACTCACCAGGACAGAACCACTGGTCCCGCCCAGCTCCTCTCTCTACCCAGTCCCTTGAATGCACCATGTCTACTTGCCTTCCATACGTGTTTAAGGGTATCCCTTTGCATGGCATTGCCTTAACTCTCCTCTTGTTCTTTCCAAATTCCTAAAGTACATTGTCCAGCCAATTAGTGCTTAAAAAATTCCAGACAGTGGCTCACGCCTGTAATCCCAGCACTTTGGGAGGCCGAGGCAGGTGGATCACGAGGTCAGGAGTTCGAGATCAGCCTGACCAACATGGTGAAACCCTGTCTCTACTAAAAATACAAAAATTAGCCAGGCATGGTGGCGCATGCCTGTAATCCTGACTACTCAGGAGGCTGAGGCAGGAGAATCACTTGAAACCAGGAGGCAGAGGTTGCAGTGAGCCAAGATTGTGCCACTGCACTCCAGCCTGGGGGACAGAGAGAGACTCCATCAAAAAAAAAAAAAAAATTCCACATAATTTTGTAATGAATTAGATAGTACCCTGCATTGGTCACTATTATTTAACTTACCTTAAGCTTCCTCTCTCTAACTAGGTCTTAATCTACTTATAAGGCAGAGAATATATTTTTATTAGATTTATATTTCTATAGTATAGCTCATGGCACCCAGAACCATTGTTAGTGCTTAACAAATACTTATTGATTAGCTGATTGAGGGAATCAAGCCACTTTTCAACAGACGCCATGTTTTTGTTTCCTCTTCACTGCAGTAGATATAACCATTTATTAGCAACAGCTTTAGCTCAAATTGTGTTCTCTTATAGAGTGGCCAGTTTAGAATCCAAGCACCTACTAAGCTACAAAGGAAGCGGAGGTCTGTTTATTCTGAAACTAGCAAAAAGCAAGGGTGCCTTTCTGGACATTTTGACTTAGCAGCCAAGGTGTCCGGAAGTTAACCTTTAGGCTAATGTGATGTCTCTTGTCATTTT